CTCTGTCAAATAAATAAATAAAATCTTAAAAAAAAAAAAAAAAATACAGATTCCCAGGTCTCACACCAGACCTCCTGCGTGGGGTGGGGCTGGGAAGTTACTGCATCGCTACAGTGTCCTAAGGAGGGCAGGCTTTCCAGTGGGATTGTTGGAGCTGCATCTCGAAGGATGGGTATGGTTTGGGTGTGTGGAGAGGCAGAGGAGTCACAGTCCTGGTTGACTTAAGGAGTGTATTTGGTTGGGTTTGAAGAAATGGCATGTGCAAAGTTTTGGGAGTTGGGGTAGGAAAGGCATTTTTGAAAGAGTGAGTGGAATGGTCAGGCTGGAACACTGGGTTTGCATGGGAATTGTGAGAAGGAAGATTAGAAGGAATAGTCTTTGTAGGCCACAGAACTTGCTGGAGTGCTCCCTCTGCCTCCTCCCAGCTTCTTCCCTCTTTCTCTTCTGCTTCTCCACTTCCTCCTTGCCTCCCAACCCCCACTTACATGCAACATCTCATTCCATCCTTTATATTGCTATTATTGAGTGGATAATTATTATTCTAGTATTTGGATGAGAAAACCTGAGGCTCTGGCCATGGTTACATAGCTTGTAATAAGGGTCTATTCTGAGTCCAGTAATCATCCTGCTGACCACTGAGGATTCTTGAATGTGGGCAAGAAGTTGGGCTGGGCTTGTGGAGGTTGTTGGATTTGCAGGGTGGCTGATTGAACCGTTTCAGGCAAGATGAGTTGGGTGGTTAAGAGCATAGCCTCGAGTCACATAGTTTGGGTTCAAATCCCAGCTTCATTACTTGCTAACTGCGTGACCCTGGGCAAGTTGCTTGATCTTACTAAGCCTCAGTCTTCTCACCTGTAACATGGGAGCAATAACACCTCATGGGGTTGTTATGAGGATCAATGAGGTGTACCCGGCACAGAGCAATTGCTCACCACCTGGAAGCAATTGTAATTAGCCTTGTGTAATTAGTCTCTGGGCTCTGGCTGTGCACCTGCATCTCATTCTTCAGCACATCGGTTTCCAGGACACAGCCCATCCTGGCTGAGCTCGTTTTATTAAGGATGACATCGGAGGTGCTGAAAGTCTGCCACCAGTAAATATATATTGAAAACCTCCCATGTGCTTGGCATGGCCTAGGAACTAGTGACTCAAGGCTTAAGCCTGATGGAAAGGAGGTTTGGAGTGGGAGATGACGGGTTATTCTCACCAGGTGACATAGGAAGAGGAGGGATACTTGAAGTGGGCAGTGAAAGGGCCCTTCACCACCAAGAACTGAGATGAGCTCAGTCAAACCTAGAGGGTAGGGGATGGCTGATGGTCTCTTCTGAGCCCTGGAAGGGCTCGCCATGGCCAGCCTGGATCCCTCTCACTCTACGGCTGAAGACTGATGGGGCCTCTGTCCTTCTCTTTTCCAGGTGGCAGTGACGTGGCTGTGCCCCACGCTTATCCACTGGGGCCCCTCCATGAGCCTGCCAGTGCCCTGATGGAGCCCCAGCCTTGCCCGCGAAGCGTGGCTGAGGGCTTCCTGGAGGAGGAGCTGCGGCTCAATGCTGAACTGAGCCAGCTGCAGTTCTCAGAGCCTGTGGGCATCATCTACAATCCTGTGGAGTATGCGTGGGAGCCGCACCGCAGCTATGTGACCCGCTACTGCCAAGGCCCCAAGGAAGTGCTCTTCCTGGGCATGAACCCCGGGCCCTTTGGCATGGCCCAGACTGGGGTAAAGGGTTTGGCTTCCCCTGGTGGGTGGAGTGGGAGGCTCCAAGGTGGATGTTTGGCTGTGCTGCAAGTGGGGGAGGAGCGTGTGCCTGGCTGTGGCCCCGTGTGGGGACGGGCCCCTCATCCCCTCCCAATACACATGCTGGCTCCTGTGGTCTCAGACACTCTCCTGGCCTCGCAGCCCAGAGTTAACCAAGCACATTAATGGTAGTTCCGTTTCCCCTGTGAGCTTGTCCTCTAATTGCCTCTGCGAGCCCTTCCTTCCGCCCGCCCCATCCTTACCTTACCTTGCCGGATCTCCTCTTTCCCTAGAGTGTGGTGGGGGTCGGGAGAGGGACCAGGAATGCCAGCTCCTCAGGGGAGACTGGCTGACGGGTGGGTATGGAAGAGATGCAGGGCTTTCAGCCGTCCTGCTTCTGTGTCTTAGCTGAGGAGAGGCTCAAAACAGAGCTGGCTCTAGGGCCTGCCTGCTTTCCTTTCAGACCTTGGGATGAGTGAATGCCCCTCAGTGGGGGTGCTTGGCAGATGGGGGAGGGGAAGAGGCTTCGGGGCAGGAGGCTCAATCGCTTTTATTGACCCCGACTGGGGGATGAAAGGTGATCAATGATGATCGATGGAAATGACAGCCTGAGGCTCCGGTCTGAGAGGGCACCGAGAGAGCGCTGGTCAGTCCTGTCTTTGTGCCTCCTCTAACCCTGGCTGTCTTTCTGTCTCAGACTGTCTGTCTGCCCCCAATACTACCCATCACATCCTGTGGAGGGCCAGATACTCCCATATGCTCTCTCTCTGTGCTTCCAAAGGCAAGTGGGGATAGAAGCAAACAGATTCTTGCGCACTACAGTCCACAGTGAAAAATTGGAGAAAGATGGGCAGGATCAAACCATAGGGCCAGAATCCTCGTCTCAGGCCTTTGGGTGAAGGGGGTGGGGGTAGTGGTGGGGTGTCCAGTATTAGAGGGTGCAGCTGGTGCAGAACCCAGGTGTCAGATCTCCAGACTGAAACCCTCCTGTCTCTCTCCCTCCCGGCAGGTGCCCTTTGGGGAAGTGAGCGTAGTCCGGGACTGGTTGGGCATTGGGGGACCTGTGTTGACCCCACCCCAAGAGCACCCGAAGCGACCAGTGCTGGGACTGGAGTGCCCTCAGTCGGAGGTGAGCGGTGCCCGGTTCTGGGGCTTTTTCCGGAACCTCTGTGGACAGCCCGAGGTCTTCTTCCGTCACTGTTTTGTCCACAATCTGTGTCCTTTGCTCTTCTTGACTCCCAGTGGGCGCAACGTCACTCCCGCCGAGCTACCTGCCAGGCAGCGAGAACAGCTCCTTAGGGCCTGTGACGCGGCCCTCTGCAGGCAGGTGCAGCTGCTGGGGGTGCAGCTGGTGGTGGGAGTGGGGCGCCTGGCGGAGCAGCGGGCGCGGCGGGCTCTGGCAGGCCTGACGCCTGAGGTCCAGGTGGAGGGGCTTTTGCACCCCTCCCCTCGGAGCCCACAGGCCAACAGGGGCTGGGAGGCAGCGGCCAAGGAGAGACTGAATGAGCTGGGGCTGCTGCCGCTGCTAACGAAATGAGGGCCCCTGTGGCCCGGCACAGGACATGTTCAAGGCCCCCAAGTCATCCCGGGGCAAGCAGAGGACTACACGCCCCCTGGCCTGGAGCCACAGGGGCCTTCTGGGCTCCCTGGTTGCCGGGGCCTGCCGTGGCAGGTCTGACACTAGTCCGCTGGCTGCATTCTTCCCCTTCCTTTGAGCACGGCCCCTGCTCCTGTGGTAGCTAAGTCCACAGAGACGGGGCGTCTGCCAACTGCGCTACCTCACTGTTGGCGCCGGGGCCTCTGCTCAGCTGAGATGGGCCCGAACTGTGACTTCTGGGGCCGTATTTGCTGTGTTAGACGTATTTGCTGTGTTAGAGGAAAGATCCTGCCAGGACCCCCACCCATCCTCCTAGAACAGCTTCCTGCAAGCTGAGCCTTTTCCTCACAGGGACCAGGACAAAGTGAAGGCTGTGGATGTTAAGAGTGAACTTCTTATGGGAGACTGAGGCTGGATCAGAGAAAGAATTCAGTGTGGCAGAGTGTGGAAGACCAGAAGACCTGGCTTTCTTCATCTCGGCTTTGAGGCTTCATGGCTTTGTGAACTTTATGACTTTGGACAGATTTGATGGACCTCTCCAAGCCTCCGGATCCTCATCTGTAAAATGGGGATCTCTACCTCATGGGGTTGGGGTGGGGATTAAGTGAGATAACACTTGGAAGTGCCTTGCGTCCTGCCTGGCGGGTGCTCCTTATCCTTCTTGCTTTTTTGCCTCTTGGTTGGGGCGTCACTGTACTACACTACAAAAGGAGCGCCCCCACTCCAGGACCTTGCTGGGTGAGGGGCAGATCCTTGCCCTGCCAGAGGTGGACCAGTAACTTTATGAAAAACGCAGCCTGTGATTTTTCAGTCTAAGCATTAAAAACTCCTAAACCGGGGTGTCTAGGTGGCTCAGTTGCTTAAGCGCCTGCCTTTGGCACAGGTCATGATCTCTCAGGTTCCCCACTCGGCGGGGGGTCTGCTGCTCCCTCTCCCTTTCCCTCTGCCCCTCCCCCCACTCGTGCCCTCTCTGTCAAATAAATAAATACAGTCTTTAAAAGGAAAAAAAAAAACTCCTAAACCCTTTTGTGTGGGTCCTTTTTTCCCTCCTGCATGTCAGAGATGGAAGGGGTGGTTTAGATTTTTCCCTTCTCTTAGCTCTTCACTGTTGCAAAGGGTTCTTCCGGGTATTTGGGGGAGATGATGTAAACAGACCTCTAATTGTCTTACCATAGCTTAAGGGTCTCAGTCAGGGGTTTGTCTGCTGCTCGGGGCCCTGTGAGGAGCAGCTGATGGGTGGATGGGAGCACGCTAGCTCCACCTAACTCATTTCTTGTGTCTGCTGGATGACTGGTTGATGTGCCCCTTTAATAGGGCTGGGAAGGTGAACCAAGTTGGGAGTAGAGTGGGTCTTGAGACCATCTTAATGAGGAACACGTGGTTGGATTCTATCTCCTGGGACACGTCATCTCCATCTTTCAAAATTAAGATTTTTAGTATAGGGGAGACTGGCTCAGAGGAGCATGAGACTTGATATGGGGTTGTGAGTTGGAGCCCCATGTTGGGTGTAGAGATTACTAAAAAATATATATGTAAGATAAACTTAAAAAAAAAAGCAAGTCTTTTTAGTGTAAGTGTCCCCCATTTGTATAATGAAGAATTTGACGGGCTTTTGTCACTGGTTCTTGGGAAGGAAGTGTCTAAATCCTTGGAATTTCCCAAGTGATAGGAGTGTCTTTGTTATTCGCGGAGGGCCCCTCAGACCACACACCTGCGTTTATGCTGAAATTGACTCTGGACCAGGACTATGCCAGAAAGGAAAGGCCAACCGCCTGATTAGAGGGTTGGGGCTATGAGCCGGGTGATACCAGCCTGAACAACCGAGGGTGGGGGTGGGGGCTGGAGATGGAATTCAACCATGTGGTCAGTGATGTCAATCGATAATACCTATGTAATGAAACCCTAATGAGAACTCTGGACACAGACTCTGGCGAGCCTCCTGGGTGGTGGATGCATGGGTGCCACAGCCGGCTGCTGTGTCCCCTTTCTGCGGGGAAGTACCCAGCAGCTGGGTTGGGAAACCCTCTCGGACCTTGCCTCTTGTATCTCTGTTTGGCTGGGCCTGATTGGTATCCCGTACAATAAAACCGTGGTTCTAAGGAAGTGCTTTCCTGAGTTCTGTCAGTCATTCTAGTGAATTACCGAACCTGAGGGGGTCACGGGAACCCCTGGATTTGTAACCAGTTAGAAGTATAGGTGGCCTGGGGACCCCTGAACTTGGAGCTGGCATCTGAAGCGAGGGCGGTCTTGTTGGGGACGGTGCCCTTAAACCCGTGGAGAGTGTGCTGACTCTGGGGAGTTAGCATCGGAATGGCATTGCAACTTTGCACCCCCCCCACCCCCCCTGCCACACACACACACCTTAGACTCCTTTCCTCCCTGGTGCAGGGCCCTAGATGAGACACTGGGATAAGTGCACAGAGAGGGAAGTCATTGTGCCCCTCTGCATTTAGCCGAGGTAGAGAAGGCTCTCTGGGGAGGTGGCATTTCGGGCGGTCTTAGAGACTGGGAGTTCTGGAGAACATCATTATGTTCAAGGGGTGGCGAGTGGGTGAGCACTGACTTTGCCCGCTTGGGAGGAAAAGCTAGAGAGGTAAGTTGGAGCCATCTTGTGAAGGATCTTGAATGCCAGACCAATCTTTGAGCATTTGAAGTCCAGTGGGGAAAGTGAGATGCACAGAACACACACACTTAGAACACCCAACAGAAGGCGCTGAAGGGGAAGGCCCTACAGGAGGCAGGGTAGGTGCAATGGGGTCAAGAAGGGAACGGCAAGGCGATTATAGGGAAGGTGCCCTGGTGGGACAGCGCAGTCTAGGTGAAAGCCTAGAATTGGGGGCGAGACTTGTGAGCTGGGGTAGGGTCGGGCAGCACACGGGGGCACTAGAACGGTAGTGACCAGGATGGTGGCCGGAAGACCTAGGTGCTAGCAGAGTCCCTGCTGGATCTGGCTTCTAGTAGAGCTGTCGTCCTCAATTCTTGGGGTACATCTTGTCCTGCAAGGGGCTGATTAGGGTTCGGGCCTGCCTTTTTCTAAGGGCACTCTAGTAGTCTGCCAGGGCTGCCATAACCAAAATACCACACACAGCGTAGCTTAAACACGTTTATTTTCTCAGCGTTCTCGAGGCTGGGAGTCCAAGAGGCAGCTGTCGGCAGGTTTGGTTTCCCCTGAGGCCTCTCTCCTTGGCCTGTAGACGGCAGCCTTCTCACTGTGTCCTGCCATGGCCTTTTCTCTGTGTCTCCCTGCTATTTCTTTTCTTATAAGGACACCAGTCATTGGATTAGGGTTCCACCCTTAAGACCTCATTTAAGCTCAGATACCTCTTTTATTTTATTCTTTTTAAGATTTTTTATTCATTTATTTGAGAGAGCGAGTGGTATGTGAGAGAGAGCACAAGCAGGGGGAGCTGCAGAGGGAGAGGGAGATGCAGGATCCCCGCTGAGCAGGGAGCCCGATGCGGGATTCAATCCCAGGACCCTGGGATCACGACCTGGGCCTAAGGCAGACACTTAACCGACTGAGCCATCCGGGCGCCCCTTAGTTACTTCTTTAAAGGCCCCTTCTCCAAATAAAGTCACGTTGGGGGTTAGGGTTTTAACATGAATTTGGGGGGGGCACCTGGGTGGCTCAGTCGGTTAAGCCGCTGCCTTCGGCTCAGGTCGTGATCCCAGGGTCCTGGGATGGAGCCCCACATCAGGCTCCCTGCTCAGCGGGGAGCCTGCTTCTCCCTCTGCCTCTGCCTGCCTCTGTGCCTACTTGTTCTCTCTCTCTCTCTGTCAAATAAATAAATAAAATCTTTAAAAAAAAAAAGAAACGTTAAAAAAAAACACATGAATTTGGGGGATTGGGAGACACCATTTGGCTCATAACAGGCATCTCAAGTCATGTCACTGTTTTTCCTGTCTCCCACCAATGCCAGCCTCTCACAAAAGAGGGTAGTCAGGAGTGCCTTTCCTCCAGTCTGGCAGGTAGAGTGGTGGTGTGGCTTAGCTACCTGATAGGGCTTAATCCCCCTGACAGGCCGCTATACCCCCCAATTCATCCTAGAGCAGTTTTTTTCAGTGCAAATGAGAGTGTCTGTAGGGAGGGGAAGCTCATTGTTTTCTATTGAGCTAAAGGGAATGGAGACTTGAACTGCTACAAAACAGTATTGTGAGAAGTATTTTAAAGCCAAATTGAAGTGATTTGGGATCGTCTAGAGTTTTGCGGTCTGATCTAGTAGCCACTAGCCATGTGTGGCTGCTTAAGTCAATGGGGCGCCTGGGTGGCTCATTCGGTTAAGCTTCTGACTTCCGCTCAGGTCATGATTTCAGGGTCCCTGGGATCGAGTCCCACGTTGGACTCCCTGCTTAGTGGGGAGTCTTCTTCTCCCTCTGCCCCTCCCTCCCTTCTGCTTTTGCTTTCTCTCTCTCTCTCTCACAAATAAATAAAATCTTTTAAAAAAATTTAATTTAGGGCACCTGGGTGGCTCAGTCGTTGGGCGTCTGCCTTTGGCTCGGGTCATGAACCCAGGGTCCTGGGATCGAGCCCCGCATCGGGCTCCCTGCTTAGCGGGGAGCCTGCTTCTCCCTCTCCCACTCCCCCTGCCTGTGTCCCCTCTCTCGCTGTCTCTCTCTCTGTCAAATAAATAATAAAATAAAATCTTTTAAAAAAATAAAAATAAAATTTAAGTTAATGAAGTAAGATTAAAAATTCAATTCCGCAGTCACTGGCCATGTCTCAAGTGCTCAATAGCCACACATACACCACAGATATGGAACATTTCATCATTGCAGAAAGTTCTATTAGGTAGCACTGATCAAGAGATCAGTAGCTTACAACCCTGCCTGTGAATCAGAATTCACCTGTGGAGGTTTTAAAAAAGGCACGTGTCTGAGTTCCACTTTAAGAGATTTTGATTTGGGAAGTCTGCAGTGCAGCCTGGTATCTCTTTTTCTCTTCGTGCTGCAGATGTGCAGCCGAGTAAGTTAAGGCAGGATTGCACTGGGTGCCTTGAGGGCAAGGAGAGGGTCCCTCCTATTCCCTTCCCCAGTATGTACCCCAACACCTGGCACAAAGTAAGTGTTCAGGACGAATACGCAAGTAATGCGTGAATCTGGTTTTAGAGACCTACCCCAAGGTGCCGATCCAAGTAACATAAGTGTCCCCAGAGTTTGTTGCTTTTGTCCAGTGATGGTGATTGAAATTCTGGTTCAGAGGAGTGATGGGGGCTTCCACTCTAACACATGTGCACGCACACCCACACCCACACATACACGTACGTAGTCGGTGGTAGAGGCCAAGCTGTGCTTGGGTCAGGGTGCTTCTGAGACTGGAGGTTGGAGTGTGTTGAGGAAGAAAAAGACTCCTCCTACTCTTTTTTTTTCTTCTTACTGAAACAGGATGGTGTAAAAGAAGATGGAGTCTTGGGTTTGACCACCGTGTGGTCTTTCACTTTCCTTTCTCAATTCAACAAACATCTCTTAGTGTCAGCTGCGTGCCAGTCCCCATGCTAGGCACTGTAGGGAGTGACAGAGGTGGTTGCGATAATTCTTTGTCCTCACGTTGCTCATTGCCCGGTGCTGGGAGATATAGGCATATAATTATAATCAAAAGGCAAACGTGTTGTGAACAACTTCTAAACGCAGCGCTCTGGGCACACTGACTGAGGAGGTGATTAGCCCTCCGACTGTGGGCAGGAGGTGCGTGTGCCTGTAAGGGAGGGTGGTGCCTGCCCGGCTCCCGCATCACTTGCTGTCTTGCCACCTCCGCAGAGGGGACCCCTGTGGCACAACTCGGGGCTGGGCATGTCTCTGTGCGCGCCTCTACTTTGATCTCTTGTTCCATGAACCTTTGGG